ATAACCGGGTTTTAGAGGTTTTGCGTATTTGACCACCCAGATCTCCCCAAAAGGCGATTCATACTTTTTTTTGGGAGATCCGTACTTTTTTTGGGGAGATCCGTACATTTGAATTCTAAAATAAAAAAAATAAAAAAAATTTCTTAAAAGAAAATTACTGTTCACCTCGAAGACTGGGTTTGACCTCGCCCTAGGGGGCGATCCAGGCTGTCCCATCGCCCCAAGGGGCGATCCAGCCTTTTATTATTATTATTATTGATTATTTTTTTTGGTATTTTTAATAAAACTGATACGCCATTTAAGTTGTATTTCTTAACTTTTTTAGAGCCAATATTCATGGGTAAAAGTTTAAAAATAAACCATTATAATTATGGAGACGCAAAAATTATTTTTATCTGTTTTGGGTTTCGTATATCAGATATAAACCCGTAAAACTTCTAAAACCCGGTTATTTTGTGGCAAAATGTTGTATAAAATGGTATTTTTAATAAAACTGATAGGTCATTTAAGTTGTGTTTTTTAACTTTTTTAGAACCAAAATTCATGGGTAAAGGTTTAAAAATAAACCATTATAATTATGGAGACGCAAATTTTTTTTTTTATCTGTTTTGGGTTTCGTATATCAGATATAAACCTATAAAACCTCTAAAACCCGGTTATTTTATAGCAAAATGTTGTATAAAATGGTATTTTTTAATAAAACTGATACGTCATTTAAGTTTGTTTTTTAACTTTTTTGGAACCAAAATTCATGGGTAAAGGTTTAAAAATAAACCATAATTATGAGACGCAAATCAGATAAATTTTTTTTTGCATCTCCATAATTATAATGGTTTATTTTTAAACCTTTACCCATGAATTTTGGTTCTAAAAAAGTTAAGAAACACAACTTAAATGGCGTATCAGTTTTATTAAAAATACCAAAAAATATCAAATAAATAAATAATAAAAGGCTGGATCGCCCCTGGGGGCGATGGGACAGCCTTGATCGTCCCCTAGGGCGAGGTCAAACCCAGTCTTCGAGGTGATTTTTTTTTTAGAATTCAAATGTACGGATCTCCCCAAAAAAAGTACGGATCGCCCCAAACCTGTACGGATCGCCCTTTGGGGAGATCTGGGTGGTCAAATACGCAAAACCTCTAAAACCCGGTTATTTTGTGGCAAAATGTTATATAAAATGGTTATTTTTATAAATTTTAGATTTATAATATGTTAATTAATACAAAAAAATACTAAAGAAAATTAAATAATACATGTTAATTAAAAGAATTTCACATTGATTATATATATATATTATAAATTTTGGATTTATTACATGAGCCTTGAGTCACGACGCGCCACGATTATTGTTCTGTTGAGCCTTTTAGAGCATCAATATCTACTTATTATCATTCTTAGATTTAATTGTTAAAGGGTTTTTTTATTGAGGAACACCGTGAAACATCAATCTACCTATGTGGTAAATCATCTTTTTAATATGAAGCCACAATTTTCCAGATTAATGTTCTATATTGCTTTTCATTATAATAAAATTGAGTTTAACATATCAAAGTCTGTTACATGAAAATTGAATATAAAGAAGAGAATGAGAATAAAATAATTAGATTCCAAAGGATGAAGATGGGGGGTTATGATTACATTCCCTCACTACTGTCCTTAGAATCCAACTCCATCATATGCCCCTCTCCTTCCCATCCTCAAATTTTCCCATTTAAAAGACTTGTATATAATTATTATGATAGGAAAATGGTTTAAAATATTGATTATGTTTGGAGTTTTATGTTGGTTAACTTTGGATCATTATGATTATATATATATATATATATATATATATATATATATATATTGGAACCTTCCTTCTTTATTTAAAGTCTTTTTAAGAGATGAATCTAACACCCTTCCATGTATCCTCATAGATAATATCGAGAAAAGCTCACATAATTTTATAATTGGCGTCAATAAAAAATGAATGTTTGATTTTAAATTGTATTAAAGTTTTACCCGTTGATAAATTACAGAAATCATAAGTCTTTAGTATGTCATAATTTCTAAGTGTCATAATAAATTGTTTTTATAGAACTTAATTAGTTTATAAGAGTACCAAACAAATATGTGTCCCGTGTAAGAGCATTGTAATAGGTTTATATGATATTTTTGGACGTCTAAATAGCTTTCTATGACAATTTTAAAACAAAGTGTTCTATTAGCTTTTTATAGGACATTTAGAAATGTCATATAAATACATTGTTTTATAGGAAGCTTGTGTTTATATGACACTTTTTTCAAATAGTGTCATAAAACATTTAATATGATGTTTTATTTCAATGTGTTCCATAAACCTATTGCAACACTCTTACAAAAGTCGCATATGTTTGGTCCTATAAACTTATATTTTGTAAAATAGTCTATTAGAATAATTAGAGATTTATGGCATCTTATAAATCCGATTTTTGTTGTAGCGAGCAGAGAAATGGAGCTGAAGGCTTTGGCGTTGCAGATTGATCGTATTAAGAGATCTTACGTAACAAGGAAAAGGAACACAAGATATATATACCTAAGCTAAGAATAAGGAAAATACAAAATTAGTCTCTACACAAAGACGTTTATGAAAGATAGAATGATTTAGTATTTATACTTTTCTTTATCTTTTTATACTTGAAAGTCATAATGTTAACAATAGAAAAAAAGATTGGTCAGATTTTGAAACAAAGACTTTGTCTCTACTACCATCATGGTTCTAAAATGCGCGTCACGACAGTTGCCACTATGGCACGAGGTGCGACTCCGACACCATGTCAAACCCACAACATCTATGTAAGGTGAGACGCATTACAACCCTTCAAACTTTCGGTCCCTGAATTTCGTAGCACGTACTTAATTTTTAGTTAGCTCGATACATTACGATTTTTATATTCCACCATTGCGTACTCTATACGTAAAAGTACTAAAACTAACTACCAATCATTTGCTAGCTAGAAGCTTCCCTCAAAAAGTTAGCCACCTAAAAGGTTGGTACTTCCCTCTAAAGGCACCACACACCAATGTCTTAGGTCTCTAGTTCATTTAGACACTCCTCAATTTTATTCGTATTGACAAAATTCATTCATGGTTTATTACTCATTAATCATCTTCTCTCTTCGAGGCTTGTTAGCATCCATGGAGTAGCGACATCTTATGTTATTGTCATTCTTATACTCATCACAGTCATGTTCTTATATGTAATCTTTTCTTTGATAAGAATATGTGAACCCCTACACTTGAAAAGATCCATCGAATAGGGAATGGAGGTTCCAACATATATGGAAGAAAAATGGTATGACTCTAGCTGATACAAAACTCTAACATTTCTTATCGTAAGATTGTTATTAATATGTTGATATGTAAAAGACCTTAGCATTGGCAATGCCTTGTCGGTGCTAAGTCAAGATGAAATGCTTGAGAAGAAATATTTGGGATGGAATACCTTGTTGAAGAACTTTGAACAGTTTTGTGGAGAGTTTGTAAGAAGTTCTTTTTGCCCTGATTTCTTAAATGTTTCTTGGATAATTTACCAATATAAGAAACATCACTTGTTTACAAGGACTCCCATCTCTCATTAATTACTCTAGTAGACGATTGATAGATCTTGGAATGCTCTAGTTGCATACGAGTTGTATATCGTCATTATCAATGCCTTCACCAAATAACAAATTAATATAACGTTTAGACTAGTGGGGGACCATAAATGAACGAAGAGATCATGAATGTTGCAAAGAAGGGGGAGAATAACACATTTCATTTATTTTATTTCATATAAATTTTTTTAGCACCTGAATATGTATTATTGATTACAAAAATGGGTTGACCCTACTTGCTTGACTATCTTGTCATTGCATTATCGAATAGAATTCGAGAGTATACCAAAAAACTCTAGTATATCCCAGATACATCAAATTGCCTTTCTTGGTGACGTATCATTTTCTTGAAATAAAGGATATGATTTTCTATCATCCATATTCCGTAGGTTTAGTTTAATGATCCCAACTGTAAATTTCTTTGAAATCAATCCTTTTCGTTCAAAAAATTGTTCTTTGAAATCAAAGTTAAGGATATCAAGGGTTTACACCTTGAGAATGATTAATCAAATCCATGGCCATTTTACTATTAGAAACCACTCGTTTGTTTATTTATTTATTTATTAATTTGTTGTACAATACGAGTTCTTTATCATTTGCACAAGACATGGAGGGTTAAACACACGTTAAAATAAAGCGTGTATCGGAATCGGATCAATTAATGGTAAATTGTGAACGGGTTTTTCTTTCCCAACATGCCTTAATCACGATAATATGGAGGTTTTGATTTCTCGCTGCAACATTTAATCTGTGAAAAGGATGACTTGAAACTATGTGCCCAAATATAGATATGTATATACACTCTTAGCTTACACATGATGTTTTCTACTCGCTAGTTTTAGAAAAACAGCATTAGTTGTATGCTTTGGTTATCTTTCTGCGAATAAATACCATCTAGTATGCTACTCATAATCATGTTTTTTTACTTTCTAACAGTAGTAGGGGGTACTTTTGACGATGGAATCACCTTTCCATCACTATTTTTTAACCTTTTTCAACTTTACAGTGGAGAAAAAGAGTAGGTCACGTGAGGAAGCACAGGAAGTCACGTGTAAGGGGAGTTTCTGGACCTGCATTTATTCATGCAAACATTACATTTTCTTTTTAATACTATACTTATAAAAGAAAAGAAAAGAAGAAAAATATAATGACTGTTTTGTTTGTTTTTTCTTATGTGGTGGGGATGTTTTTTTGGTTTCATCTGTCGGGTTTCTCTCTTGTGGGCTCAAGTTTCGATTCATTTGATTGGGTTTAAGAACCTCTATCTCTTTCATTCTCACCCCCACACACACTGTCTCTGTGTGTTTGTGTGCGTTTTAGTGTGTGTATTAACCTTCTTGATTCCACTGTTGTAAGCTTTATATAGAAGACTTGGCTCAACCTTACCTGCTCAAGGTGCGGGGTCAATGAGAGAAGCAAAGAAAGTTCATTGAAAAAGCTAAAAGCTTAAAAGAAAGCTGATTTTTCTCAAAGCAAACTGCTTTTCTCCTATCCTCATCTCCTCTATATCTCCCCCCCTCCCCCTCTCACCCTCATCTCAAGAATAAAGCTGAAACAAACAACAACCCCCACTTCAACATCTGTACTGAATCAATTGGATTTCTGATAGATTTGGAGCTTCTTCTGTGAAATATTCTCAGAAAAACCCACTACATAAATCTACCCATATGTTAGACAACAACGACCACCACCACCACCACCATCACCTCACCACTGCACCTGGTCCATCTTCTTCTTCTGATCCCTTCCTTTCCCCAGATAATGGCCTCTCCAACAAAAGGAAAAGACGACCTGCTGGTACTCCAGGTACCCACTAATCAACTCTAGCTAATTAGATTAAATATATAGAAACCGATCATTAATTAATTAGATGCATACATATGTGTGTGTGGGTGTGTGGGTGTGATCAGATGTTCAATTAACATGTTCAAAACTGCAGATCCAGATGCGGAGGTGGTATCCTTATCGCCCAAGACATTGCTGGAGTCGGACAGATACGTGTGTGAGATCTGTAACCAAGGCTTCCAAAGGGATCAGAATCTTCAGATGCACCGGAGGCGGCATAAAGTGCCATGGAAGCTGTTGAAGAGAGAGTCTCCGGAGGTGAAGAAGAGGGTTTTCGTGTGCCCGGAGCCCAGCTGTTTGCACCACGATCCTTGTCACGCCCTTGGGGATCTTGTCGGGATCAAAAAGCACTTCCGGAGGAAACACAGCAACGATAAACAGTGGGTTTGTGACAAGTGCTCAAAGGGCTATGCTGTTCAATCTGATTATAAAGCTCATCTCAAAACTTGTGGTACTAGAGGCCATTCTTGTGACTGTGGCCGAGTCTTTTCCAGGTTTACTTTCCTTCTTTTTTCTTATTTTCTCGATTAAATCCGCCAGCCACCCACATTTCTTTTGGCATCTTAATTAAAAGAAATCAATCTGTAAATGGGCTAGACTGGAACCTATGGCATTTTTCAGCCTGTGTTTGTTTTTTCTGCTCATACATGGATTTCAGCAACACCCCATAAGAGCAAAAATTCCTTGATGCTTTTTATCTGAAAATGTCGACTCTCCCGTTCATCTTAATTAATTGAAAAACAAATTCTTTCAAGTTTCTTTTATATATTTCTCTAGTTTGACTCTCGACAATCTATATATAATACACCCATGAACCAATTCCTATTCCTATTCCTAGGATCTATGATCTCATGTTTTTTTATATATTTTATCGAGCATAAAACAAATTAAATTGTATTATTTATCCATTAGGCAATTAGTCGGTCTTGTTATTAGATATATATAAATATTGTTTGATGGGTAATCCAAATACATATGATTAAACTGAAGTTTTATGGATTTAGTTCATATAAAATATATATCAAGTACTTGTCATTTTCATAACCTCATAAACTATCTGCTTCAATCCTTTGATCTATAGTTTATTGTTTGCTTGTTGATAGCCCTACACGAGAAAGCTTTGATTTCTTCATTTGATAAGATATTTTGTCTTATAGCATTTGATCTTTTCCTCCCTAGATTTATCATATTGTATTTAATTACTTTTATCAACTTTTAAATGATTCTTGTATGCTTTTTGTTTTTGTTTTGGTTTTTGTTTTGACTCATTTGTCATCGTAGAGTTGAGAGTTTCATCGAGCACCAAGATGCTTGTACCATCCGGCGTGTCCACCCAGACCTACCAACATTCCAGCAGGCGTGTTCATCTCGAACGGCATCGAGTACAAGTCCATCAAGTGAAACCAATTTGAGTACCATCCCATCATTGCAAAGAAAGCCACAAATCGCACCTCCGGAGCCTCTTTTTTCTCAAACTCAAGAAGAGACGCCAACTAGCTTGGAACTTCAGCTCTTACCATCATCATCATCCTTATATGAACAAAATGACAATAATCAAACCAATTTGAAGCTCTCTATCGGAAGTGGGATCGGCTTCCACAAGGAACAAGAAAACATGAAGATAGCGATGGCAGAGAAGGAATTTGCTGAAGAGGCTAGGCAACAAGCAAAGAGGCAGATAGAAACTGCAGAGTTGGAGTTTGCTAACGCGAAAAGGATAAGGAAACAAGCTCAGGCAGAGTTGGAAAGAGCTAAACTTCTTCGAGAACAAGCTACAAAGAAAATCAGCTCTACAATCTTAGAGATCACTTGTCATTCTTGTAGGCAACGGTTCCAAGCCGCAAGTAATAATGTTGCAGCCATTACAGCCGACGAGATGTCATCAGCAGTAACCGAAGGCGAAGGAGATTAGTAGTATTTTCAGACAAACCTACTATACCTCTTTTTTTGCAACTTTTTTCTCTCTAAACTGTATTTGTTTTCTATGTGATTTCATTCATGTCTTTGCCTTCTGCCATCGGAAAACAATATAATATATATATATATATATATGTATGTATAAATACATATATATGTATTTATGTGCATACGTATGTATGTACAGATTTTGGTACTGTAATGCCCCTTGAATTCTACAATATATAGATTTTGGGACCTATATTTTCTACAACCAATTGGTTCAATTCCAAATGAATCTTAACGAGATCTAATGATGGCAGTTCTTGTATATAGTAATTAGAGGCTTGTTGCAGCTTGATAAGCACATCATATCAGATTAATTATTAAGGATCTTGCCTTTTAAGAGAAGAAAGGAATCAAAGAGACATGGTAGTGTCTGGATTTTCCATTGTGGGGATCAGTTGGGAATTCTAGTGGAGGATCAAATAATTCTTCATTTGTTCGTGATAGATGGCAATAATTCATCTACACTAGAGTCACTTATATGACCAAGGAAAGACATCCTGGTATCAGCTAAAATTGGGAAAACCTTGACCGCCTTTCCTCACCCCAAATGCTCCGATCATAATCGTTTTGCAATTCTCCGACAAGACCTCCTTTCGTCGGTTCTAGGTGAGTGTCATCACTTACATGCTAATAAGAAATTTGATCCTTGTACGAATGTTTAGGATATTATGAAACGTTAGCATAAAAAAAGAAGCAACAAGGGTAGTAAAGTTGAAGTATATCTAGCGGGACAAAAGGAAGGAAACGGACAAAGATAAGAGAAAGATGGTTACCGGACCGCTCTACTTTCATGCAGCATTATAATCATACCTCACTCGTCCTACCTAGTAGCTAGCTAGCACCTATACAGCAATTTCAAGATTCTCCTCAAAGCTAATTGACTAAAAGATATACATCTTTCATGGTTCAAGTTTTTAGATTTCGATCTTCTTTTTGTGTCGAGATCACCATCGAAGTTGGAGTAACGATGTTGACATCAACAATATCTGAGTATGATGAAGGGCAAGATAGTCATCGAACAAATTCTTGAAAGTAGAGATGATAGGAGTGAGAAACCAAAATATGGATGACCGGATTCTAATATCATAAGGTTTTACATCTATTAACACGTTTCAATCTTTAATATTTTTAATTTATTTTATGTTTGTTAGGTATTTATGGAAAAAAATTCGGTTTAGTGAATATATTAATCAATGCAATTCCAAAATTCAAAGTTTATTGGATTAGTGTCATTTGTATCAAGTACCTTTTCAATTATTAATTAGTTATTAGTTCTTGAGGTTGTTGTTAATTAATATAATAGTCGTTCATGTAAAATTCAAAAAAATACAAATGACTAACTTCACAACCGACTCCTAAGAAAATCGACAGCCAACCAACCATCTTTACTCATATAAGTTATATGTTATAAATGTTAATGACACGTGCAACAAAAACAAGGCCTCAACCAACGGTCCTGTTTACAGAGTAATTGGTCCTCCAAGTCCCGGTCCCTCAACAAAATAAGTTAGACGGTACGTAGTAACCGGTTATAGAAACGATCCATCTTAACTAGTCCAGTAACCGATGGAGTTGAGGTCATGATTACCCGTAGACAAACGGGCCCGAAACAATATTTTATATTCTAAGAAAAAAAAAACATATTTCAAATCACAAATTATGTGAAATAATTCAGAATACATAATAATTTTGCATTATTCACATTCGTCCATTAATTTTAACAAATCAATCCTGACTCTCCAATTTAATATCTTTAAAAATAGTTATCTAAATCAGTTCTTTTTAGCAAATAGACGAGTGAGGCCTAACGTATGATCTTCCTCTGTGAACAATTATAATCAATACATAATTTGTTGGATTTTACTCATCTTTTATTCTTTTAATTAATATTTTATTTAGACATTATCTGTTGATTTATTTTTACCTCTTTCATTAATTATTTTCTGACTGAATTAAATATTAAAAGCAAATTAATTACAAGTTAATTTTCAATAATTAAGACTAAAATTCTTGATTTTCTTTTATATTGCCGCTATCTTTCTTTTTAATAATAATAAAATTATTAAAATTTGAATTTACTTAACTTCCTCCAATGTTTATTACATTTGTGCACAATTAAAGAAACATGCATCCATTCATTTTGTTATGAAATAGTACTTACAATATTACTTTCACATTTTTCATGTTTTCTATTAATTAAATCTTGTCACCACAAACAATATCATAATTTTCCATAATAAGTAATTTTAATCAAACTTTAAAAAAAATAGATGATTTTTTATACAAATAAGATCACATTTGCCTAAATCGATATTTGGGTTTTAAAAAACAATCACTAATTTATATTTTAAAACAACAATTTCTTTTTTCATACAACCATTTAACATATTATTAATAATTTATTAGAGGTATAAAAAATGAGATTAAATTTAAAATTTATATATAAAAATAAATATGAGCGAAATGTTATTTATGATCCGTACGAAGAGGAAAAGAACCCAGAAGAAGAAAACAATGATGTGGTATATTGCGCTCTGATTCGATCTTTATTTTCACGTGACGTATCAAGAAGGATTTGCAGACTCACCTTTCCTTTTACCCTCATCTTATACAATAAATGCATGCAAAAACTTAACCACATAAATATCATGTTTTTCAGTGCCATGGTGGAATGGTTAAAAATGGAGGCACTCATCACTCTCATTTAACACACTACCTCTTTCATCACACCATCTTGCTATGCACCTGCTTATCCCTTTGAACTCCCTCGTACATTTTCTATACTTTTATTCTTCTCTTATATCCATGCATATATATGTTTGATGTAATTAGCACCAATATCGAGAAAGAGCTTAATTCGTCTTCCTTCTCATGACAACGGTGGTTGAATTGGTTAAAAGTAGAATATAGGAGACGACACATCTCAATTGAAACCTTTCATTAGTTAGTGGTGAAGAAAGGCTCGACGAAAACTCAATTTTTTTGGATACGGGAAAGACATTTACGAGCAAAGGGTATATGCAAGCGTATATACTAGTCTTTTACAAGTAATAAAACCAAGTGCAAATCTCATACTCCATAAGGGTTAAGTGAAGTTCAAAATACTATCAACTTGAAAAGAAGTGACCACAATATTTATAGAATAGAAGAGTGTGGACAGTCTTGTTAATTAAAGGGGTGGCATAATTAAGAGAATTAATGATTCCAATCTGTTCTCAAGGAGCTGACCACCCTACAAATTTGTCCACTTTTCCTCATATATACAGTGACCACACTACTTTAGCTCCTAATTGCTAAGAAAAACTATTTTGGAACTATTCCAAGTTGTTAGAATAACTGGCCGGTGTTATGAAGACACTCATTTTATGTGATGTTATTGTGCCCAAATCTATATTCTTGTGAGCTTTTGAACAACATTTTTAAGTTTCCCTTCCATCATTCAAGTTAGATGTTGCTTTTGTTAAACCAATTCATAGACTTTGATTTAACTTTAATTAACACCTTCAAGTGATCCACTAACTAAAACAAATTTGGGTCACATGATGCTTAAAATTTATAAGCGTCCTTGATAGCATGTTTTGTATGACTTAAGTTTATAAGAACAAACTATAAAGTGTTCTATCTAAAAGTGTTACAGTAAGTTTATGTGACGTTTGTAGACATTTTAACAAGATTTTAGAACATTATTAAAATAAAGTATTTTATTAGCTATTTTACATTAAACTATTTGAAAAAGTGCCCTATAAACAAAAACATCCAAAAAAAGATGGGGTTATAAGAAACTTCTCTAAAAGTGTCCTATAAAATAGCTAATATGATTATTTATTTTAAAAACATTATAAAAAATTGTTAAAACACCTAAAAGTATCATAACACTTATAGATATTATACTTTACAGTATGTATGGTCTTATAACATATAATATTAGGATGCTTACACATTTTAAACGTGTTATAAATTCAATTTTATTGTAGTGATCAAAACATTGTCTCCGTTCTAAATGTTTAAATTATGAATGAACAATCCGCTTGTGTGTTATTTGTGCCACTACAACAAAATTGAGTTTATAAAAAATGTCAAAAATAAAATATCTAATTAATTTCCTAATAAACTATTATATAAGACTAGGGGTTATTTGTTTGTCTCAGAGACTCTATTAGTATAGGCAAGTCTTTGATTCATTCACAGCTAAAGGTTGTTTGGCAAAGTTTTTAAAACCTCTGAATCGTACGTTTCGTTAGCCTCTGAATCCTTCATTCTTTCCGGCTATATATATATATATATATATATATATCTATATCGGAGATAGGGAAGATTTATTTTTTCATCCTCGTCCTTGGAGAAACATCTGGTTTTCAAAAATGAAGCATCGTTGCCGTCGCTGACTCTGGCGGTCGTCCATGGCTTGCCGACGACAATATAATGAAGGCTATAATAGAGATTATCATGAAGTTTCTAGTTAAGTCATGATCATTGCAATGGTTGATACGGAGAAGGGAAGATTTCTGTAATGAAATAGTTGGAAAAAAATGGAAGGATTTAAGGTTGAGAAGGACGACATTGGAGGTGGTTCGATTGAGTTTTGCGGAGTTGGATGATGCCCGATTGAATTCGCCCCGGTAAAAGAAATGCCCTAAAGCAGACGGGAAAGAGGGATAGTTATTGGAGTATGCAAAAGTAGAGTTTTTATTATGTTTGACTAAAATAGTCCTTTTTTTTATATTTGATGAGTTAATTATTTATAAGATACTTTATTCATTTAAAACAAATAAAACCTAACTAAATATTTTATTTTTAATGATTAAGTTCGTGAATTAATTTTTTTACCTAAAAAAATCATTAATTTTTTTCATTTCAAATAATTATTTTTTTAAATGAAAAATCATTAAATTTTCTTGTTTTGAACGATTAATTCTCTTAAATACTTTTTTAATAAAAAAAAATTATTGAACTTATAAAAATTGGTTAATTACATCATTTTAACTTAAAAAAAACCATTTGTAACCTAGGTCATTGAACCCGCATATAAACATCAATATCACT